ACACAATTTTTAAAAATTAGTGAAGAAAATAGACTACCCAGTCAGCTACCCAAAGCCTGCCTGAATCAAAACAAAAAACTTTTCCTGCTAGTAGAAAGACAACAGCAAAGGGTTCCCACCTAGAGTCACTTGGAAGGGATCTCTAGAACATGGGAAATATTTTAAAAGTACCTGTACTTTGTGGATGGACATTATGCTTAATTTAAATACATGTAAATTTTAATGTCACTACTCATATGCCTGTCTGTGTGGGAGACAATGGGGGAGGGGAAACAAAGCAGTGTTGGGAATCCATCAGGTGACTTGTGAGTGAAGGGCAGTTTAAAAGGGTTATTGGTCCACTGAGAGCTAGGCTGCTTGACTCTGGTTTGGATTGGTTTCACTTACATTTTGATATCCTTCCCACCAACTGTCGTGTGAGGCTGGAGATGAACTCAAGACCCTAAAATGTTGAATCCAGGACCTCCTGCAGGTACTACATGAACCATTCCACCCACCTAAACCACCTCCTATTACCCATGTGGTCCTACAGTAGCATATGCAGATGGGTACTGAAAAACTTCCTAACTGTTAGAGCAGTACAACTGTGGAACCAGTTACCTCGGGAGTTGGTGAGTGCTCCAATACTGGAGGCATTCAAGAAAAACTTAGATAATCACCTGGCACATATCCTTTGATTGTGTTCCTGCATTGAACAGGGGGTTGGACTTGATGGCCTTGTAGGCCCCTTCCAACTTCATTTTTCTATGAGGCTGGGGAGGAATCAAAGACAAATTGCTTCATGGTGTACCTGATTCCTGTCCACCTCTATGAATGAGGGGATTGGGAGTTGCAGTATGGAGTTTGGAATGTGAGGCTGAGTCCAGGGAGCTGATTCTCCTGTGATTTGATACAAAATGTCAGTGGGCAATTCCACACACCCCTACCCAGATTCAAGGCCATACTAGACAAGACAGCATGTTGTTAGAAACAGGACTTCCTTAAAAAGAAAAGACTGTTTATTCTAAAAGGAGTTTGCCTCAACTCACATTTTGTAAATTATTATTTTTGTTTTGTAACTGGTCAGCTGGGAGAAAGCACAGCTTGATTTGCATGTCTGATGTCTTAGGCACTGAACGTTCTGAAAGAAGGAATACACATTTGGCATAACATGTAATATGGTCCTCAAAATTGTATCTCCTGTTTCCCAAAGCCAGATACATATAGCCAGCTGCTGTAAAATATGTGGCTGTCCCATGCAAGCACATGTAAGAGCAGTTCTGTTCCAGCATGCACCCTGCATGTAAGGCTTCTCCAGACAGGAGTCTAACCACCTTTTGGCCAGAGTAGACATGAAAATAGCGCAAGGAGCTATTATGGACACAGCATGTCAATTTTAATGTCACTTCTTGTGCAACCGTTGAATTCCCTCTGCACCCATAGGATGGGAATTAGACTGCAAAACATGTATTTTACAATGTAATCTGAAACCTCTGGGTAGAGTGGGCGGCATATAAATTAAATAAATAAATAAATAAATATGCTATGTGTCATATGTAATAGTGCTGTTTATTGCAGGTTAATTAATTATAGATGTACAAATCAATATCAGATGGATATAAGATAAAGAGTTCAGAAATGTTTTGGACATGTCTATAAAAATCATTGTAAACATCCTGAGCAAGTTTCACTTTGAAGTTGGAGGAATCTAAGTTAATTGAACTGGGCAGATGGCCAATTTTATAGTAGATGGGATGCAATAGGTTTTTCTTTTTAAGTTTTGGCCTGCCATATTAGTAAGAACTGATTAAAAACAGATGAGGCAGTAAATGAATATGCCTCAGTTTGTCAGACCTTTCTTTCCCCCAGACGTGGCTGAAAAAATGGGGGGTCATTCATGGAGGAGGAGGGTACATGTCTATTGACATTAAGCTTGGGGCGCTTAGTACACTTATCACACTCTAGCCATTCTTAGGAACTTCTGGCTGCTGGCCAAGCCCCCTGCATTGCTTCATTCTCAGCTAAATTATTCTATACTAGAGGGTAGGAAGAAGGGCCCTCTACTGCTCTGCAGGACCTTTGTTTAAAAGATAGGGTGATCATGTTCCCTACTTTACAGAGGTTTCTTCTTCTCCAATTTCCACTGGAAGACAAAAAATCACAAGAAGGGAGAGCAAGGACTGTGAAGCTGAAGCCCATCAAGAGCTTCCACCTCAATACCCAACTGAACAAGTCCAGACATCATCATCTGAAGAAACTGAAACAAATTAATGCCTTCAGGAGAGGGCAAAAACCTTGCGATATCGCAGAGTTAATCACTTTTCGTACTAAGACAAATCTTATGAGGATGTTAGGAAAAAAATTCTGATACCATTAGTGATTGTAAATAAATTTTGCAGAACAAATGTTCTGTCTAGAAGAATTTTCTATCATTTTCTAAATTATCCCTATTCCTGCTCCTCAGACTGACCTTCCACAACTAGGACTCACATATTCATGATGAGTTTGCTATAACAACAGACACTCACTACATCAACATTCCCAAATCAGAGTCTTATACTTTCCCTGAAGATTCTCCCGTTCTCCTTCCTATTCTGCACTTGAACACTGGCCACCCATATAAAACTTAAGCAGGCAGACAAAACACACCAGCTTGGTGTTTGGCTTCCCTGAAGATTCTCCCGTTCTCCTTTCTTCCTTTTCTGCACGTGAACACTGGAACCCCATATAAAACTTAAGATGGCAGACAAAACACACCAGCTTGGTGTTTGGGAAGATTCATGCTATGGGATCCCTGAATTCTGCAGTCTGGAATACCAGTTTGGCACCCTTTGGATTGGTAGAAGCATTCTAAATGGTTCCTCCCTTCCTAACAGTCCCCAAATTCCAAAACTAGTTCTGGCTCTAGCTACAGCAACAGAGGCATTCCAAAACTACCGTAGTTCTGGCTCTAGCTACAGCAACAGAGGAGGGAAGGAGGTCCCTTCCAACCCCATCCTTTGGCACTGCTATAGTCGCTGTAGTTCTCAAGGTCCCTGGTGTCTTCTGCATGACTAAGTCTTGCAGTCAACAAGAAGTTTGGGGGATACAGAAGATCAGATATTGCCATGGCTCATAATTTCCCAGTTCCCAGGATGGGAAGAGAAAGAAGCCCCACTCAGTAATTCAGTATCTGGGTGAGCTCATTGTGTGAAGAGGGACAGCAAGCTACCTTCACTCTTTTTGTCATCACTTTGCTCATGCAAAATCTAAAGAGGGGAGGTTTGTCAATCCATGAAAAGTCTCTATGCAAGCATGGGAAAAGCAAGGCTTTAGTTGATAAAAATGGACATATCTCCCTATTAAATCTTGCTTTGCATGACCAAAACAACTCTGTCATACACTTAGCCCACAACAATGCTGAATGATTGAACAGAGCTGAGGAGTCTCCCAGTTCCAAAGGCATTAATGTGATTTTGCTTCCCTTGTGATGTTGTACAGTAATGTGACTCAGAACAGCAGAAGAAACTAAAAGATCCTTGTGCTAAGTAAGCAAGGTAATAACTTTCTGTCTTCAGGCATTGAGTTGTAAAGGACTCACATGTGAGCTACTGTGAGAAATACTGTCAGGGAAATTCCTGACTCAAAGGCAGAAAAAATAATTTTCAAAATTATCAGAAGAGCTGAGAATGTACTAAAGTTAAAAAAATTATTTTTTGAGTTGTGAAGTCTCTTGGCCAAGGAGAATATTTAATAATATATGGTAACAGCCCTGTGGTTCCCAGGCTATATGCACAACGGAAGGAAGGAAGGAAAATGAGAAGTGGAAATTTATTTATTTATTTATTTATTGTATTTATACCCCGCCTATCTAGTCATTTCGACCACTCTAGGCGGCTTACAACATAAAGGATAACAAGTTCAAGAACAATTTATAACAATTAATTAATTAAATGATTATGCAAGATGGGAAAAATACAAAATAAATCAAATAAAGAGAAAAAGAATAAAAAAGGAAAGAGGACAGGAATTAACTGGAAGGGAAGGCCTGCCTATACATCCACGTTTTTAGTTGGTTCTTAAAAGTACCCAGCGAGGGTGCAGCGCAAATCTCCGGAGGTAGGTTATTCCAGAGGCGAGGAGCCACCGCTGAGAAGGCCCGGATTCTAGTTCTTTCCTTCCGGGCCTCCCTCGGTGTCAGGCTCCTCAGCCTCACCTCCTGGCTCGCGCGGGTGACGGTTAGAACTAGTTGGAAGTAAGCGTTCCGCCAAATATTGAGGTCCTAAACCATTTAGGGCTTTATATGTAAGCATTAACACTTTGATGTCAATGCGGAAACGGATGGGCAGCCAGTAGTGGAGAGAGCAAGACAGACAAGAAGCCGTGCATAAAATTCTGCCTAATGACCACAAAGTACTGATCATTGGTGAAGCACGGTATTAATACAGGATTCTTATTTTTCAGTCTTCCTTATAAAGTAACATTCATCTCAAGAACTGCCCGGCTGTGGTCTCTAATATGACATTAGGGAGTATCTGCATGTGTGCTTGTTTTCATGGGCACTTCCCTCAACTTGCCTGTTTTTGTGGACTTTGAAGCAAGGAGAACCCTAGACGCAAAAGTGCAAATTTTACTCATTTGGAAAACTTGAGGAGGGGAAAACGATTTCCCTATGAACACATTTCCTTCCCCTGGCCTGTTCTAAGCCTTAAAAGGCATTTTTAAAAGAAACTAGGAGAGGCCAACCGCCGGGGCTTCCACATCAGCTGTTCAACGCTGAGCTCAGATTTCTTTTTCCCACCAACTGCATTTACAGTGGCTTTCGGAGACCGGAGTTAGAAGAAGGAAAAACTCCTGGTTTGTTTGCTTGCTTGTTTTGTTTTGAACTGGGGGAAGAGGCAGCTAACCGCTCAGAGCCAGGCGAGACCCTCCTAATATTCTCGCCATCCCAGGAGCGGGTACAAAATGTATACCTGACTAAACTCTGACCGGGTCCGCCAGTCGGACTCTATTGGAGAAAGGTTTCTACAACAGAGACGGAAGGGGATAGAGCGCCGCACGTCGTTGGAGGCCAGCGCGCCTTCCTTCCGTTTCCGTTTGGAGGACGAACCATAATGGCGGATGCCGAGCCTGTGTGCAGCTTTCTTTTCAAGAAGCGTCGTCCTGTGCCTGGGAGGGGCCAGCGCAAGAGGCCAGGCAGCGACCAGGAGGCTGGTGAGAAATTTGGCTAATTCCTGTGACCTGAGGCAGCCTGACGGCTCAGTCAATATCTGCAGCCCCTCCTGCCATCTCTCTCTCCTCCGTGGCAGTCCGTTATAGACTTGGGAAGGGGGAAATGGCTGCTGGGCGGTCTGTCCTCGTAATACCTGCCCCCCCGTATGTGGACGGCTGTCCCCCGCGTCCTTATAGATGTACCTAGAAAAGCCGGGTGCTCTTTGCCTCAGGGAGGAGACATAACGGGCAGTTTGCATTCTTGAACTTACTGTGAGAACTGCAAAAACGATACGTGGCTTCCTGAACAAATCTACTCACACCTCTTCGTTTGGAATCCTGTTGGTAAGCTCTTCTAGTGTAGACGCATTGAATCGACAGGATTTTCCTAAGTGTTAAGCCCCCATTTGCCAGATGATACTGTAGGCTTACTTAAAGCTAGCAGTTGGATTTAGGTCAGAGGGTCTTTTGATTTAATGCGATTCAAAGCCTGTGGCCTGAAGGGGGAGTTATAACAGAGGTGAATGGGTTACGTAGTTGGTTGTGTAATAATGGAGCCTCCCGTTTTGCCCGACAGGGAGCAGTAGCGATGAAGCCAGTACTGTGGTCAGGAAGGAGAGACGCAAGGACATCCCCAACCCCATGATTCAGAAGGTGATGGATATTTTATTAGTCTGTCCAAGTACACATGGAGATGTATCCTTGGAACATTTCTCAGTCTAAACTTAATTCTCCCTGATTCTCTTATCTCCCAGACTAAAAAGCCTGTGAAGGATAATGCCTCGTTTGGATCAAGCAGTAGTGATGATGAGAGTAAACCTGAAGGAATTGGAGTTTCTTATAAGTCTACACGATCGGCGGTATGGATGTTTTAAAAGACAGTGAGACAGCAGTTTAGATGATTTCCAGTAGATTGACTGAAGTTCTGTCTCCAATATTAGGCTAAATGATTTATTGCACACAATAAGAAAATAAGGTGATTAGCAGCTTTGCTGGCTAAATTTGAAGTATAGTAACTGAGATGTTGATATGCACATGTTGTGATTAGCAGCTTTGCTGGCCAAATTTGTAGTAACTGAGATGTTGATATGCACATGTTTATGCACTTTATCTCATTAGTAGCTCACAGGGTGCAACAGGCAATTGGTTGTACTCCAAGCCCATATTGGGCATCTTATTCTGCTCTCCAGATACTGGTTTGTGGTAGTTTCTAGCTGGGGTTCTAAGGAGAAAGGAAAGATAATCCTGACACCTTGATTTCTGCTCACCCATACATTAGAAACAACACAGCAGTTCTGATGTATTACTGTAATAACTGGTAATTATAAAAATAGTATTGTATTTTCTTAGCCTTTTTCACTTTCCTTTCTGCTCTACCAAAACAGTTCTCATATTTTAGAAACCTGTAGGTCCAGAGGACATGGGAGCCACAGCTATATATGAACTGGACACAGAGAAAGAGAAAGATGCTCAAGCCATCTTTGAACGTAGTCAGGAAATCCAGAAGGTGAATGTCAAGTGTTCTAACTCTGCTTGTTTTTCTGTTTGTTTGCTTGCTTGTTCTGCAATTTTTCAAAACTGATGGGAGGTGTGTATTACTAACCTGCATTATATTTTTCATTCCATTCTCTGTTTATCTGCTGCAAGGGTTCTTCTTATAATTATTTGTATCGCATTCAACCTCTTAGAATTTCTTCACCTTATCACATACAGCATTACTTTTATTTTTAACCTTATTGCTGTGCTTCACTGTGCATCCACACCAGTTTTGTACTATAATCCATGCTGTATTTTCTTTCACTCTTGTGATTCATGCGTAAGGATTAACACATGAAAAGGAGGCAGCTCCAGTATCAACCAGCCTTTCTAATGACCCCTCCCCTTCTTTGCTTAGGAACTCAGAGGAAAGGAAGATGATAAAATTTACCGTGGGATCAATAATTACCAGAAGTATGTGAAGCCAAAAGATACATCCATGGGGAATGCCTCTTCAGGCATGGTAAGGTAAGGTAGTCCTGTTGACCTCATCCCATCAAAAAATAAATATTATAAGGTGGCTCTGTGTGCATTTTATGCATCGGGATACTTTACCAATTTCATTGTTATGCCTGCGTAGTTTTTTAAAATTAATATTTGTCTTATTTTTGAATGGTCCATAGTTTTGCCAAAAACTCCTCCAGTTACTTTGTGCAGTTACTCTTAACAGACTTGCAGTGTTGTGATCTATCTGGCTGAGACACATATACTTTGATATCCCTGTATTTTCTTCTTGTTTACATTAAAAATGAAATATAGCTGTATATTTAAAGTGAGGATATGAAAATGCCAGAGGGTAAAAAAAGAGCAACTAGTAGTGTAGGATCTAAAAAAAAAAAGCAGGAGTTTAACATGTTTTATAATGCAACTTCTCCCTATGTATCAAAATACATTTTTCCCTTCAAATCTTACTACTGTACTTCAGAAAACCCATTTTTCCCTGTTTTCTAATCTCTTTGTTACATCTTAACCTCTTCCTAACATACTGGCAACTGCTTTAATCTTGTACTCTTTGTTTCAGGAAGGGACCTATAAGAGCCCCAGAGCATCTCAGGGCCACTGTGCGGTGGGACTACCAACCTGATATCTGTAAAGACTACAAGGAAACTGGATTTTGTGGCTTTGGAGGTGAATATATTGTGCTGTACCCTACCAAGAGAATATTTGGTTAAGGATTTCTGCTTCCATGTACGGCTTTGGAGGTGAATAGCTCTTGTATATTCATCTCTACCCAGAGATCTATACAGTGGGGTCTTGACTTGAGAACTTAATCTGTATTGGAAGGCGGTTCTCAAGTCAAAAAGTTCTCAGGTCAAATCTGCATTTCCCATAGGAATGCATTGAAAACCATTTGATCCGTATCTGCTCTTTTCCGTCCATAGAAACTAATGGGAAGCTGCTATTCCGCCTTTGACCACTAGAGGGGGATATTTTGTTTCTTTTTTTTTCTTAGGGCAAGGGAAGGGAAGGCAGGGAAAATACAGTCTAGGCAGTACAGTACCAGGCAGTCTAAAGACTGTCTCCCAATCCACTCTCTAAACGCTGGGAGGAGTGAGGAAGCAGACAGGCACCCTTTTCACTGGCCAACAGTTAACTGAAAGTTCAAATTTTGCACTTTCCCTGCCTTCCACGTGGTTTTTTTTCAGTTCTTAACTCAAATCTAAGTATGTAAGTCAAGTCAATATTTTCCTATGAGAGTGGTTTGTAAGTCAAAATGTTCTTAACTCGGGCCGTTCTTAAGTCAAGACCCCACTGTATTGTGCTGTACCCTACCAAGAGAATATTTGGTTAAGGATTTCTGCTTCCATGTATATAGGGATGGTTGGCAGTCAGAGAGAAATGGTTGAGAAACACTTTAATCTGTTTCCTTCTCCTAGACAGCTGCAAATTTCTTCATGACAGATCAGATTACAAGCATGGCTGGCAAATCGAGCGAGAGCTGGATGAAGGACGCTATGGAGTTAATGGTATAATTTCCTCCTTTCTGCAGTTGTTTTGGTGTTATTCTGCAATTTAAATAGTTTTTATAGAGGAGTAGAAACTATATCAGATTTGTGTACTGGGTACTGGGCCCCATCTTCTCTCAGGATGTCAATGAGAGTGGGTAGCCCTTTGTGACTCTTAAGGTGTGACCAGAAAAAATCTTGAAAAAACTGGAGTCTTTGTATGTGAGGAGGCATATACTGAGCACACACAGAACTCGTATTTTTCAGTGGAATCATGTAAAGTGTACAACAATAATTTGCTTGTGGATTCTTGACTGTAGGCCAGTAGCTCTGTGTGCTTTCATGTTACTGGTGCTATGATGTGTAGGTCTGGACAGAGTTGGTTAATCGCCTAGTACAGCAGGTCGGTCCTCCTTGCTCTTCTTTCTGAAGTCCTTGAAAGTATACATTTAATCTTCTACTAAGTCTCAAGCTGCTCAACTTTGATCTAGATGAATGCAGTGGCATTTTGGAGCTCTTGCATATTTTGATCTTGTTCTAGGCCATGACCTCTACCTTCTTGGTAAAAGATATTTCAGTTTCCTTGTCAGAGCTGTCAGTTTTGGAACCAAAGGAGCTAAAGCTGCAGACCAGTCTTCCTGGAGCTCCGGTTTCTTGTTGCTGCAGCAGATCTCTAATTGGTTGATCAGTCAGGAGGTTGCATTTGCCAATTCAGTGCCTCCTGCCACCTTTTGAGCCCCCAGCCCAGCCCTTGGAGCTGCCATCTTTAGTGCAGCAGGGCTGTCACTTTGGACGGGAAGGTTGGAAGGGAGCATTTTACGAGAAAACAAGAGGCAAGGCTGAAATCAAAGAATTTAATCTGCTCTTTTTGCATTGCTGTATAACATTATTTTCTACTGTTAGATTCTACTGTCATGGCAAAGTTACTTCAGTAGTTGATGCTTTAAAAAAAAACAAAACAGTGGACCTTTTCAGTTATATTGCTATGTTGTACACTATACCAAGGCAAATATTTTCCCCTGACTTACATGGTAAAGTTACTTCAGTAGTTGATGCTTTTTTAAAAAAAGCAATGGACCCTTTCAGTTATATTGCTATGTTGTACACCATACCAAGGCAAATATTTTCCCCTGACTTAAATGAGCAAATTGACTATGAGGTGGAGTGATGTGCCACTGTGCAAATGACATCCAACACTGTTTTTACATTTGAGTCAGATAAAGCAGTAGAAGTGCTGAATGGGTAATGGCCTGAATAAAGAAGTAACTTGAAGCTTAGTCCAGATAACACAGGACGTACCATTGGTAGGTACTTGATCTAACTAATCAAGGAAAATTGAGCTTGCTCCAGATGAGTTTGCATTAAAAGCACAGCATCTTCTAGGTCCAGTGTTGTCAGCCTTTGATGTCGCGAAAGTGTGACTACTGGTTCTTTTGTATCCGGTAATGGCCTGAATAAAGAAGTAACTTGAAGCTTAGTCCAGATAACACAGGACGTACCATTGGTAGGTACTTGATCTAACTAATCAAGGAAAATTGAGCTTGCTCCAGATGAGTTTGCATTAAAAGCACAGCATCTTCTAGGTCCAGTGTTGTCAGCCTTTGATGTCGCGAAAGTGTGACTACTGGTTCTTTTGTATCCCAAGAAGAACCTGACAGCCTTTGATGTCAGTTACTTAAGCTCTAGTATCTTCCACTAGCTTTAGGCAGCTATAGCCATGCCTAGACAGTGAGCGAGCTTGTCTATGGTCACTTATCCTAAACTTTCAGCTTAGATAACTCTAATGCATTATATGTAGGTACATTACTGAAGACCATTTCGAAAACTCTGCTAGTTTAAAATAGAACTTGCAAATTTTTTGACAAGTAGATACTCTATATTTGGTTGATTTAAGAGAAATCATAATTGATTCCTGGTCAATTTCCATATACAGCTCAAGCACTGGGGGTGCTTATATTTAAAGCTCAGCAAGATACGTGGAGGAATGCCTCAGATATGAGGCAAATGGTGATGGAGAATAGGGCCTTGCTAATGGTGGTGAGATTATGACATTTTCTCCCAAGAAAATTTTCCTGGCTTTTCATTAATCTACAATTATTTTACTATTGCTTATCTTCCCTCGATTTTTATAGCTACATAAAGAATTGATTTAATATATATTACATGCGCATGATTAAACATAATTGTTTTCAAACTAAGCTATGTGCATATGTGCTTTTTTTATGTGGAAAAATGTTGCACGGTTAAGAGATCTAAGCAGGACTGTCAGTTTACCAATGGTTCTTTAAATTGGTTTTTAATTGTGTTGGTCTCCATCTTTGTATCCTAACTCTCTCTCTGGTTCTTCACCTGATCCAGGCCAAACATGCACTAACCTGACATTGATGTCAATTACTTAAGCTCCAGTACCTTCCACTAGCTTTAGGCAGCTACAGCCATGCCTAGACAATGAGCAAGCTTGGCTATGGTCACTTGTCCTAAACTTTCAGCTTAGATAACTCTAATGCATTGTATGTAGGTACATTACTGAAGACCATTTGGAAAACTCTGCTAGTTTAAAATAGAACTTGCAAAGTTTTTGACAAGTAGATACTCTATATTTGGTTGATTTAAGAGATATCATAATTGATTCCTGGTCAATTTCCAAATACAGCTCAAGCACTGGGGGTGCTTATATTTAAAGCTCAGCAAGATACTTGGAGGAATGCCTCAGGTATGAGGCAAATGATGACGGAGAATAGGGCCTTGCCAATGGTGGTGAGATTATGACATTATCTCCCAAGAAAATTTTCCTGGCTTTTCATTAATCTACAATTATTTTACTGTTGCTTATCTTCCCTCACTTTTTATAGCTACATAAAGAATTGATTAATATATATTACATGTGCATGATTAAACATAATTGTTTTCAAACTAAGCTATGTGCATATGTGCTTTTTTTATGTGGAAAAATGTTGCACGGTTAAGAGATCTAAGCAGGACTGTCAGTTTACCAATGGTTCTTTAAATTGGTTTTTAATTGTGTTATTATCTTGCAGCATTCTTACTTTGTATGTTGCCCTGAGGGTATCTACAGTATATTAAACACCATAGAAAATGCAAATAGATGGTGGCTCGGGCACGTTTTGAAGTTGTTTCAGTGGTTTGGTGAAGCTGGAGCAATAAACACAGCTCTTCTCTTCTGCATCTGCTAATAGCAGCATGTAGGAGGATGAAGAAAGCAGATGGCCTGAGTGGGCAGATCAATTTCCTCATTAAGCCTGATATTTTTCCTTCTATATATGCTGGTGACTTTAGATATACCTAGATATTGAAGACTGCCTATTTTTGGCAGGAATAGCTTCCAACATTGAGTGGGCAGAAGGGAGGTCACACGTTATAGACGGCAGAAACAAGTGAACATTTTTTATCTTGTGCAGATGATGAAAACTATGAGGTGAGCAGTGATGAGGAAGACCTGCCCTTCAAGTGTTTCATCTGCAGAAACTCTTTCAAGAACCCTGTGGTGACCAAGTAAGATGTCTGGGGACTTAGGATCCCGTTTTCAAACCAAGTTATGTGCATGTATGATTAGTTTTTAATGTGGCAAAACCTTGCATGGTTGAGATCCAAGCAGGGCTGCCACTTTACCAGTGGTTCTTTAAAAATACTGAAAGCACGCATGCACAACTCAGTATTGAGCAGAGGTAGCCTCCTAAGGACTTCTAAGCTCCAAATGTTTAAAATTGTGTTATATAATATTACTAGTAACAGTCTGAAGTTGCCACAAAGTGGATATAATTCGGTCAAAAGCTAGTCCCAAAATCTTAAATAGAAGCCCTGCTTGTGATACAGTAGTTTGGAGCTAAAGTTTGCTGGATCTGACTGACTTTTATGTATATTTTTCTCAGGTGTAAACACTACTTCTGTGAGAGCTGTGCTCTGCAACATTATCGCAAGTCTCAGCGTTGTTATGTATGTGACAAACAAACAAATGGAGTCTTCAACCCAGCCAAAGGTAATCTTGTCCTAACTGGATTTCTTAACTTGGGTGGTCAAGATAGTGGAAAGATATAATGTGCTATGGCACAATTAGCTAGGTACCCTTTCCTAATTACAGTTTGATGTCTAGCAGCCACTCAAAGGCTGAGAGATAAAAGTACTTCGAAAAAGAACTTAACAATAAGTAATGATTTACATGGGAGTGTGTGTTTTAGGGAATAATATACTATGTTACTAACTGTAATTATTGGAGTGGCATATAGATTCAATTTAATACCACCTAAAAATAGTGGGTTGTAGCCCTGACATGATTATTGGAGGTCATGTGTGATCAAAGACTTAACACAGTAACTGCCACAGGTTACTGGTATACAACCTAGTAGTCTTTCTTTGTTGCATGAAACTGAGAAAGATGTGATGTCAGAAAAAATGAAAATCTACCCTGACAACAGGAATTAAAAAAATAAAAAGTCTTTTTATTTTTCTTCTGATAGCTGAGTTTGTGAGAACAGAAAAATGATGACATTGATACATTTAGGAAGACTACAGGGAGATTATTGTAATATTTTCCTCCAGTTAAAGAGGATGAGGTTTTCTTTTTGAATTTTGAACACAAACAGAAAATTCAGGTGAAAGAAAAAAAATCAGTCTCCTCCTCTATGTTCCAGAATGTTATACTTTGATATAGACATGAAGAGTGTGGGACGGAGGCCCACTTCTGTATATGGCTTTTTGAATTTGGCTTCAAGGAGCACCTAACATGAAACAACAGGCATTTCAAAACTGTATTCTTCCCTTTGGAAGGCCTTTCTGTCGCTGCTGATTTTATAATTTTTTTTCTTACAGAGGAAAAGCTATGCCACAAAAAGTTTCAGCTATTCAAGGCAGTGGCAGGAGCCTGGTACACCTTATAAATTCCTCAAATATTTCTCTAATTCTATTCTGCAGGAATTTGTAAAGAACAATTAAACTCACATATGAATTTAATTCTAAAACTGAATGCAAGCATTAAGAGTGAAGATAAAATTAAAATAGGTGGTTGAGGAAAAGAGTGCTCTAAGGAGTTATCTGCCCCATACACAAGAGAATGTGTCTGCTTTCCTTAGTCAGGAATTCATATACCTGTAAACACCAAGGAAACATGTTTTGCTCTTTTATTTCTTGTCGGGACTGCCATACTGTGAAGTGTTAACTTTATTTTTTGTTTGTTTGTTGTTGCTTTTACAGAGTTGATAGCAAGGCTGGAAAAACATAAGGCTGAAGCAGGCAGTCCAGATGATGCTGGAGAACCAGAGTAGTATTGCCATGCCATCACTTCTTCCCCTTTCCAAAAGCTAGTTCTGTAGCTTAATAAATCTTTTATTAGTTTCATTTGTAGAAAATGAATTAGTGTTTGGTGTTTCCATGTTTGGTGTTTCCACATGAAGGCTTTAGGTGACAGATGAGTAAGATGTGACCTTCCAATGCACTCTCCAATTTTTTTAGGGTCAAAGTCCACTTGTTTTAATTGAATTTGAATAAATCCCTGCTCAGCCATGGAAACTCACTGGAGGTATGGAACTGGTAAAACCACTCCTTAAATATATCACTTAACCTGGAAGCCCTAGGAGGGTCACTCTAAGCCAGTTCCGATTTGACAGCACAGAACACACCAGAGCCATAAGCAACTTTTAAAAATGATCTGGGAGTGGTTATTGCAGGAGCAACTCTCCAAGGTCACATGTGTGAGAGACCTTTAGCCCCTGCTCTAAGCATAAGTCATCGGAAACCAGTCTATTTTGCTTCTGTTACACAACGCTTTATATTTTTGTATTCATAAAACAAAATCTGCTTTTAAGATGGGCTGCTGTTGCTTAGTTCAGTTCAACATCTTAAATTATTTGTTAACTTCTGGTCTTCAGCATGAGGCTGAATGTGTCTTCTCCCCACAGTAATTTGCTTGTTAAGTCTGAAGAAGAGTTTCTAACATTGAAGCAGGTCCTAATAAGGATACTGCCTTACTTTTATTTTAAAAAAAACTTGTTAACAGCAAAGCTTTATTTGTAATTAAATAAATCACAGCTGCCATATTACCTATTTAACTTCAGTAACAAAACTTTGTCCCGCGGCAGGAACTGTTCAAACCAGTAAGGCTTATTTAGGCTGTGAAGAGCACCAGGCAGGCATGGTGTTCTTTTTTCATGTGGAGAGTTTTTTTCAGTTATGGCAAGATAACTTTTTGTACCATCTACTGCAGGATGAACATGGTAAGGTAACTGTCAGCATATACACAAGTTACATCAGCTAGAAGTTCAGAAATATTTTATTGGCAACAAACTAGAACAGTAAATGTAACTTTGGTTCAAGTGCAGTTAAGAAGCAGGTATGCAAAGCCCTGCAACTGCTCTAGTCAGCTAGATGCAGGAAGAGGTTAGGCTCAATACTTGATTAAGGAAAAACGGGTAACAAGGTAAAAGCTAAGGAGAATAAAAATGTACTACATATAGTTAGGAACACTCTACAAGCAAGCCAAGAGTGTAGTTGACAAAAGCAGTTTTGCAAAGATGTATCATCACTTGTGACCTGTGCTAGACAGAAGCTATATAACACTAAAATAATCTGAGAATGAAAACTACAGCAAATGTGTGAAAAATGAGTGTACTTTGGCATTGAAACAAATATAAAGAATCTTCAACAAGCCAGAGAAATGTTCAGGGATGATACCTTTGCTGAAGCTACTGAGCAAGTTCAAATGCATTCTCTACTTGGAAGAGATGGTTGAAGCTTTTATAATAATAATAAAGAGTGCACAGCACTCAGCCTTACATAGATCCACAGATGGGACAGTAATGACATCAATGAGGGACACTGGCTTAAAGTAGAAAGTACTGAGTCTACCCCTGATTTCCAGCCGAGGATTCTTAGCACCACAGGATTAATTTACCATTCCCATCCTAAATTGCTGGGATACAGGAAAAATTTCAAGCAAAGGAAGACAAAGTTCAATATAAGACATACCTGTTAAGAACACTACCAGCATTTTGACTTATAAAAGCTACAAATTTTCTATTATGATGCTATAAGTGAGCATTTGCAAAGTGGCATGTGAGCATCTATGCGCACTTTCAGCTATCTCAAAGGCAATTCCTTGAACAGGTAACTAAAACACCGGAACATATCCTGTCTACATTAGACTTCTACGAAGAGATGGCAGAGAAGACAGGTTCAACTGAGCTCCACTGACAAAGTAGCCATAATCATAATCAGAAATGGAGATCTCTGGCAATATATCTTTACCATTTACTTCTTCCACCTCCCACAGTCTGATCCCTGGCCTTGCTGCAGTGTAAGTGTCATTCAGTTTGCTTTCCTAAGGAACACAAAGTACAACATAACATTCATCATGGCTTTATAAGGAAGGGAAAAAAGGTTAAATAAATTAACTATGTAGAAAAATTTCAGAAGGACTTCTATACTTTCATGTGTTTGCTTCTTTTGGTGATCTAAAAATCCCAGTCATCCACCTCAAGTTGCTCCAGATTGGAAACCAGTCCAAAAATAAGGTTAGGATCTTGTGCCTGCACACCTTCAAAGCTGGCGATTGGTGTAACTGGATATAGAAGTTCAGGAAGTGCTTCAGATGCACGGCGTTTAATCTGGAAGGCATGGAAGAAGTCAATGTATAGAACTGAGAGCACTGTGCTCATTTAGCAAGGATTAGCTAGACTACAGTAAGACAACAATTCTCATGTAGAATTCAATAAGGTTGTATCACAGAAAAGATATAATAGTATATTAACTTCTCATTCTAAGACTACAATGTGAACTTTCATTAGTTTCATATATATGCTGATAACAAATATAGCTCAGACCCAACACAGCAGAAAACAAGTGTCTAACCAACAAAAGAGTATCATGACAGTACTTCTACAAGGAGGTGAGTAAATGTCTTCTGCTTCCTTCCCTAGTATGAAGACATACTCAATGGAAAAATGGAACCTTCATAATTCTAAGTTGCAGGAACTAAAAAAATATCACTGTCATGTATGTGTTGTTGCCTGCTCTAACTGGTTTTTAAAATTTCTCAAGACATAGTTATGTGAGACTGCCTCTGCATGTTGGCAAAATTAAAGGGGAAAAATAAAAGTGGCACTTTAAAAGACCAACAAGTTTGTTTCAATATGAGCTATTGCAGATCCTGTCTGAAGAAGTGGATTTTGAGACCCACGAAAACTCGCATTGGAACAAATCTAGTTTCTTAATGCACAACATTTTGTCCTTCCCCCCCTTTAATTTTATTAACATGTTGGTTTTTAAACGAACGCTTCTCCATTAGTTTTCTTGCCTGCTACCATCAGATTACAGGCTCCTAATCCAGTAAGAGAAGCCCACAATTAACAACAGTGTGCTGCTTATATACTGCGCCATAGTGCTTAAAGCACTCTATGGGTTATTTGCATTTAATTATGCAGGCTACACATTGCCTCTGCCAAAAACACACTCTTAATCTCAGAGGAGTGCACAGCCCCTCCAAAGGCCAGAGAAGGTTCCAACAGCAACAATTCCCCTTCTGTCCCCTGTCACTTCACCAATAGCACAAGGTACACCAAGGACAGAATGTCAGCAGGGCCAAGGGAAATAAACAAGCCTATTTACCTGTTTGAAGAAGGAATGGTTGAGCAGTGCACTTGCACTAGGCCTATGCAAGAGAGACACAAGGAAAGGGAATATATTAACAGACAGAAGACACAAACATGGAAGGACAAGGAAAGGTGCATTTTCCCTCCCAAAACTCACTGTAAAATTTAGTAAGCTCAGGTCCTTAGTATAGAAGGGGGGGACACCAAGATTTTGAGTTATCATAAGAAGCACATGCCTAACATTTGTGCTCCATTTTCTGCCAGGTGTAACGAAGTTTTCTCCACTGCCTCCATGCAAGGAGCCGCTCAGCCCTCTTCCCTACATTGGTACTCTGAATATTCAAAGTGCAGTGGAGAACAGGTAGGCATATACAACTGTTCCCCATGTGTTCCAAAATAACCAAGCCACCCTCCTCCTGAGTCACCCAGGACAATGTTTCTCCATCTAGTCTTTTACCAACACTTCTCCTAACCTCATCCACATTTGCAATTTTAAAAACCAATATATTTTATGTAACTTTGCATCATCTGAGTTTAGACTTTCTTGAGGCAGACACTGACATTATCTGCCTTGTTCATACAAGGATATAAAAATCTATTTCATAGGCACAAGCAGTGGATGCTTCACAATCTACCCTGCAGAATGTTTTAGCTTTGCTTTCCCCTACCAAATGCTTCACAATTATTTTATGTCTTCAACAACCCCCAACCAGGGGGGTCCTATGGCTTCTATTTTCTGGTGAATCTAGTATAGAGGACAACAGATGCTACCAAGACGTGAAACACCATCAGTAGTTAAACCACTGCAAAAAGCAAAGCTCAGGAAAGTTAGCCTTGGAGTACAATGCCTAGGGCAGATGGTCATACTGGTTGGTGGATTTGGAGCTGAACTCCAAAGAAAAGTTAACTATTCGAAGCTTTAAAAGATATGGTTCTAGGATCCATGGTAGCAGAAAATAAAGTTTAAATGTGTACTGGGCAGTACACAGATATCCCACATCACTCCGCCAGATGCAACACTTGAAAGTTTCCTCCTTTTATTATTACATTATTTCTTTTTTCTTATTATACCTCAAGTCAGGGTTCCGCTGCAAGCACTGCTCCACAAAAAGGTGGAAGGAGAGTGAGAAGGTACGGTTGTATGGATGTGGTGCTGCCTCGCCATTAGAGGCCCTGGCGCTGCTGGCTGCTGTGCTTTCCCCAAGGCCAGTGCTAGCCCCAGAATGTGATGGTTTCATGGTCAGCTCCTCTGGAGGAATTGTGGTCGTGTCCAGGAGACATGGTACAGTGCCATTGAGCTTCTCCAAAAGCATCTGAAGTGTCAGAAGAGGTCAGTGTGTTTGGCCAACTAGAAAAATGTACATCACTACAGAGCAGTTAGTGCCATGATATCTGTAGCTTCCTTGCTCTAACACGCTATTGTCAGGGCTGAGGTACAAGGGAAAGAGAAAACCCCTACCTGTGTTGCAGGCATATCCTTGAAGGGGACATGACCATTTGCCAGTTCACAAGCTGTTATTCCTACACTGTATATGTCTGATTTAGCATCATAGCCTTGCAGATTCTAAAACCAGAAAATGAAAGTAAAATTAGGTTTAACCTGCTGGGATGCCATTTAAATTGAGGAAATAAATTGAATGAAGGATCTGTCATAACATTCTACACAACACTCATATAATCTTCTGTTGTTGCTCCCTTCTTAAACAGTGGAAGAGGAGAAGGATAGCCCAGTTTTGCTGCTCAATGTCAGACCTCCCAGAACAAAGAAATGTGTACTTAGAAGAAAGATACTGGTCAAAGCTGTTCAGAAAGCATCCATCACACAACAGGCCATCTGCATTGCCATCCTAAAATGTGCAACCTGAGCTCTACTCCATACAAGTCATGTTACCACTGAGATGCATTTTGCAAGAATTATATAGATTTAAAAGTGAAGAAAATTACCCAAAGAGAAAAAAACTTCAGCTTAAAGCAAAAAGTTATGATTGAAGCTATATCCACCAAAGCAAAGAAATTCAGACCACAGATCAACCACCCTCCTCAATCAAAACATGGGCATAATGATGCATCCTTCTCACTTTAACTTCTATTCCCAAGTATATACTACAAAATAATCCCACTAGCTAAACCACACTCTATATAAGGCATGATTAGCAGTGCAGGGTAACTGAAATGAAAGATTTCAAGTGTCAACATCTACAAACAACAGATTTGCACTGCAATCCAAGGCACTAATTACGTATGTTATACTGCACTCCAGACAGATCTGTACTTAAGGGAAAGATGCCTCATTGAGCTTATCAGGCTTAGTCCTAGGTAAACAGGGATTTTTCTCTTTGGGGAATTAAAGTATACAGCTCATCCCCATTGTTTACTTGGAGTGGAAGTTAAGGGACAAGAAGGAAGCATCACTGTGCCTATGTTTTGAATTAGGCGAATTGATCTGTGATCTGATTTCCTTTCCTTTCAGGATACAGCTTCAACCACAACTTTTTGATTTAAACCAAAGAGGAGAGTATGTGTGTTTGTTTTTATTTTGGGAATTTCCCTGCTTTTTCAAACAAACACAAAGACGTCACTTTGGAAGACGAAAGTCTATCTTTACCACTAAACAATGTAAGGCGATACAGTTTTTTTAAAGGTACCATATAAACAAAGTAAACAGCCAAATAGCAAATAACACAATGGACTTATTATAGAAAGCTGATTGACATTTCGCAGCCAATTCTAGTTGACTCCTGCTGACCTTGAGGCAGATACAGCTACTCACAAAGCAGGTGGGATGACCATTTAAACCTGTCTCTCAGGTCCTGTATACTGAAAAGTATTACTCATAAATCTGTCCCCTATTACCTGTATTTTGCTCAAAGTCTTCTGGTAGGAAACATTTCAGGCTCAAAAATGTTCCACTGAAAGCTACTTCTATCTAAAAGAATATTCTAATGAGGAAGGATGTTAGAAAACCATAAACTTCCCCATATTTGCCATTCATTATCCCTTTGGGTGAAAGGTGAAGACTTTCAAAAAGTGGCAGAACTGAATAGCCATAATAAAACATTAGCCAAATTAAAAACAAAAACAAAAACTGTAGAGTTCACTTCTAATGGGGAGAGAGCAAAAATATACAGTAAGTAGAGTCACAGCATAATGAGATCAAGAAAAGTTTTAAGATTACCTGCTGTAAGACCTCTGGACTTAGCCATGGTAGGACCCTGATGCTGTACTTGGGGAAGTCATGAACTACTTTGAGACGCTGACCATGACTGATCATGCTAAGGTTACTGCGCAGGCCAGAAAGATATACTTTCCCATCTGCAGAAATCAGGACATGACTGGCCTTCACACTCCTGTATGCAAAGAGGATAGAGAGAAAGAAGCCACAAACCCCCACCCATTCATGCTTCCTCCATTTATTACTTCATAGAATTCCGAAATTTAGCATCAAAGAATATTAGATTGTTCTGCCTGGTTCTTCAGATAAGGGGCTGTGGACAAGTGTGGCACACATCTGGCAGCTGAGCTGGCACAATATTAAACTGAACAAAGTGCACATAGGCATGCCACTCTGATGACTGAGATGCAACCCAACTTGAAAATCGTGTCTTACTCCTAAGCAAAAGGTTGAATCATTGGAAATTCCAGACAAGCTTCCCAGCACCCCTCCACCAAACTCTGTAAATACAAGTTGGGCACTCTTGTTGCCTGAAGTGCAACAGCCTTGCTTACCTGTGAACATATCCCATATGGTGAATGTAATCAAGGGCCTTCAGTACACCTTGGAGGATATATGCTATAGCTAGTTCGTTCATTCCATCCATAAAATGTGTGCAAATTAAATCCTTAGCAGAACCTAAAGGGAAAGGAATACAAATTTCCAGTACTTTTAAGACCCCCAAAGCCAGAGCCAATTGTCATTCTTGCAAAAGACAAGACATTGGCAGAGTCAGGCTACCAGAAGATGTAGGAATCAATACATGGAATTATCTTTATATCGTTTTTATAACTATATTATATAACTATATTACAGCATTGTTACAAATTACAGTGGTGCCTCGTACAACAAGTGCCCCGTTTAACGATGAATTCGCATAGCGATGGCATTTTTGCCATCACTTTTGCGATCGTATAACGATGTTGCCTATGGGGAAAAAAACGCTTTGCGATGTTTTCCCCATAGGCACCAATCGCTTTGCGAAGATCGGTAAGCGTTTCGCTTACCGATCTTCGCAAAGCGATGCCATGGATCAGCTGTTCGGCGGTTCCAAAATGGCCGCCGGAAGTCCTGAAATGCCCCCGCGCAGCGTTTTCGTGCCCTCCCCTCGCTTACCGAGGGCGCGAAAATGGCTGTTGGCTATGGAACAACTTCGCTTGAACGGTGAGTTTTGGAGCCTATTGGAACGCATTAAACTAAGTTTAATTAAACTAAGTTTAATGCGTTCCAATGGCTTTCCCTGTTTTGTACAGCGATGTTTCGCCATAGAGATGGTTAATCCGGAACGGATTAACCTCGCTATGCGAGGCACCACTGTATAAGCAGAGACAAAGAACCCTGGGCTCATTTAAGAAGATAAACAAAAAAGGTTACATTCTGATTGGACCACTGGATAATACACAATGGTTAAATTCTGATGTTAGAATTTTTTTTCTTATTTAGCTTAAAATAAATTTTAAAATCGTGATCTGCCCTCAAAAGGTTGTCTACTTCACAAGGACCTTTAGAGTCTTTTTTCCAATCATTTAAGAGTGGTAGCTTGTTGATTCATTGCAGCAAAAACAACAAAGTGTTGTGTCAAGTTTGCTACCACATACTTCGTTTGGCATTAGTGTTTGGGGACTGTAGCTATGCATCTATAGAACTGAGTGACAGGCCACAAGAGCCAAATAACATGTGTTAATCTTTAAAGTGCCCCAGCATTGTTTTTACTAAAAGTGAAAACAAAACAAAACCATTTTTTCAACAAAGCATCTCCTGGATTTCTAAGATTGCCCTGTCTTGCTTTGCTCGTATGTTTACTCTTGCTAAAGTCTAAATCCTTGGCTCTGCCTGCACTGATTTTTAAAATAACTGTTTCCTAAAGAAATGTATCAGTCACTGAAACTTACATAGGTACAGTGGATCTATAAAGTTTACACACCCCTGTTAAAATGTCAAATGTCTATGATGTTAAAAAAATGAGACGAAGACAAATCAATTCAGAACTTTTTCCATCTTTAATGAGACCTATGAACTGTACAACTCAGTTGAACAACAAACTGAAATCTTCTAGGTGGAGGGAAATAAAAATAAAAAACGTAACTTTTTATATCTACGGTAGCAATTAACTGAATTCCACTGATTCAATGAGCTTTCTCTAGCTGCAAACCTACTACTATATTTCAGTAGTATTTTTCTGTGTTTCTTCCAAATTAACTTTAGCAAAATAAACAGGACTTGTTTCATGATTAAATTAGGAACATTAATATAAAATTTGCCATTACACCATATGGAGTGTTGCCTGTGAAGAAATGAACCTTCGCATATTCTAACTAGTTTTTTTTTTCCTGAGGCACCTAGTCATTGCCAACTCCTGTATATGACCTTACATTAAGGCCACACCATACAGCATAAATACAGCCTGCCCAATGGCAAAGAGACCCATGCCATACTTACCATAGGCCATAAAAGATGTAACAACCCACAGCTCATTGTCAGCTATGAAGGCAGCTTTATATGGCACAAGGTTAGGGTGACTGAACAACTTGGACACAAGAAGCTCACCCTGAAAGCCAGAAAAAGCAATGCAGTAAGTGTATATAAGGTAAGCTGCCCCAGGAGAAAAATAAGTGGCAAACTGAGCCCCTCCCCACTCTTCAATTTAATCCAGAGTTATTGTTTCTGCTGCCAGTTTAGCATACAATCAGGACTTGGTTATCTAATTTAAATGGGTTACAACTGCAAATAAAATGGCAAAAAAACAACACATACCACCACCACCACCACACTTATTAAGAGCAAATCAAAAGGAAGAATCCTCAATAAATGTTTGCTAATAATTTACTCTTGGCAACAACTTGAAAACAAGGCCCATAGTTAAACACAAAAAATAGGACATAAAATGTAACTAGAGTATTTGTCTATGTAAGCTGTCTGTGAGAAAGATGAAAAATATATGAGATGTAGCACTATAAAGCTATTATTGGAAACAAATGAAAGGGAAACATGTGACACGACCTTTTTATAGCGTACTGATTAATGTATTACAATGTAAGTTCCACCTGAAATAATACTAAATTTAAATAAATGTATTTAAATCAAGTATCCATAATTAGCTGTGCTGGCCAAAACAAAACATTTTGTCAGCTGGGTATGCAGCTAAACAGAATATATGACAGATAAAGAGTTCTTTAACTGTAAGAATTCTCCTTACATACTTATTCATCTCCCTCCACTCCATCTTTGCAGGAAAAAAATTAAGGAGCTCATCTTATACAGTGGTGCCCCGCACAGCGAGGTTAATCCGTTCCGGATTAACCCTCGCTGTGTGAAAACATCGCTGTACGGATCAAAAACAGCCATTGGAACGCATTAAACTTAGTTTAATGCGTTCCAATAGCAGCTTTACTCATCGTACAGCGATGTTTCTCCGATGGCCGGCAGCCATTTTTGCGCCCTCCCCTCGCTTAACAAGCGCGCGAAAACGCTGCGCGTGGCCATTTTGGGGCTTCCGGCGGCCATTTTGTAGCCGCAGAACAGCTGATCGGCGGGTCGCAAAGCGAAGGTCGGTAAGCGAACCGCTTACCGACCTTCGCTCTGCGATTTTGAGCCATAGGGGCCGTCGGTGTGCGATCACATTTGCGATCGCTAGAACAGCCTCGTTGTGCGGATTCGTCGTTCTACGGTGCACTCGTTGTGCGAGGCACCACTGTATATTTATTCCGTTTTCCTACCCTTGAGAGCTCAAAATTTAGAGGCAGTCATCAAAACAATTGCATATTTCAAAAATAAAATGGCAGTTGCAAAAGCAGTAAAAACCAAATCTAGACAACACTAAGTTCATACTGGTGGGCTGTTGTACACAAAAACATGAGATAAGTAAACACAAATCAGGAGAATCAGTTTTACTCTGAGTTTGCTCATTCTGGCTCTATATTTATTTTTTATTTATTTAAAATATTTTTTGCTGTGCCTTTCTCTTTAAAAAGAACCCAAGGTGGCTTAAATGTAGAGGAAAATACTTAAAAGCTAAAAACATTATGCATACAAATATTACAAAAGAATCAAATAACACACTAAAATAGTAAACAAAATCAACACCAAAAACATGCAAAGAAACAAGGTACAATGCATTTAAAAAACCCTCTCATACAGCCAGTCACTAAAAGAAAGCCTGCCTGAAGAGAAAGGTCTTTGACTGCTTGCAGAAAGATAGCAAAGATGGGGCCAGGCTGATCTCCTGTGGGAGGGAGTTCCAAAATCTGGGAGTGGTGGCAGAGAAGGCCCTCTTCCTGTGTCCCTGCAAAATGTACCTTTCAAGAGAAAGGCCTCCCCTGATAATCTCAACAGCCAGGCAGTCTCATAAAGGGAGATGCAGTCCTTAAGATAACTTGGGCCCAAGCTGTTTAGGGCTTTATAGGTTAAAAACAGCACTCTGAATTGTGCCTGGTAATGGAAATACTGTAGTAACATAATTTAAGCAACAGCTATGCACTAAATATCACATGTTAACTCAACGTGAACCAAAGTTCAGTATCTCCAAAAGGGTCAAATCTAACTAACCTGCAAGAATGCCACCATTTCATTGGTGCAGGTTTCTAAGTTGATCCTTCGGACAGTGACAAACTCTCCTGTTGGTTTATACCGTGCCAGATACACAGTCATTAGCTCCTCAAAGCCCCTCCCTGAAAAGCCAGAGATACAGTCAGTTTCAATACATTCTCAAATAAAAGGAGAAAGTGTCTCAGAAGCATTTTTTAAACTTATTATCCATTTTGGGAATGACAATTATAATGAAATCATCTTATTATAATAATATTATTATGTGCTATCAAATAGATTCGAACTTATGACAATCCCTTTCAAGGTTCTCTATATATAAAGTGCTTGGAGGTGGTTAACCATTTCATTCTTCTGGGGTCATCCAGGGACTGTGAAGCTCTCTCAGTTCTACAAAGACCCAGCTCTTCTCTTGGAAAGTACAGTGGGGAATCAAAATCCAACCTCTGCTGCCAGATACTTGTTAAAGCTTAAATCCATACAGTGAATTCTCAAAAATTTAAAGAAACAATTTTAGAGAAATATCAGCCATATTTGCCAATAAATAATGTCTCAAAGTAGTAAAATGACTTCTCTAACCATAACATTTTATTATAACTGTTTTTATCTTTTAGACCAAGTTCCTTCATGTTGGGGCCTTTGGTATATTTTGGACTGTAACTCCCATCATTTTTGAACATTAACAATACAGGCTAGAAGTAATAAGAGCTGAAGTTCAAAACATTTGGGCCAGAATCCCACTGATTTATGCAATCATGTAGGGCAATCATGAAAGCAGTGGGATATAAGGCAGTCCACTGGGTGCAACACCCTCCTTTTACTATTTTCATTTAATCACACAAAAGCCAGCCAGGGAAAAGTGAAAACTGCTTGTGTGGTTTTCTTCTGCAATAATATTTGGCCCCGGAGAGCACACGGCTTATACCAATAATATAAAAAATGCCAAAAATGTGATCACAATTACACAATAGCTGTTCCTTATACTCCTGGAATCATGTAATGAATAGCAGGAAAAATTGAAAAGAAGTGGAATACATACTCTGGAGCACAGCTGGCTATCAAAGCACTGCAGAATTCCATTTACGTTTTTAAATGACTTCAAAAGATTTTTGAATTTGTTATCTCAAAGCATAATGAGGTGTACAATAATGAGGTCAGTATCCGATCACAAGCTAAGTTTCACATGTGCCTTAAATGTCTCATTTAAACTAAACCTCTTTATGTCTACTGGAGCTAGATGTATCCCATGGGTCACATGCAACCCAAATGGCCCCCAGAGACACCACCTAAATAACCCTAAAATGTAATTCTTTTCTCCCAGAAGCCCAGCATGGCCTTGCGGGTACTCAAATCTGCACCACCACCCCCGACCAAAAATAATAAAAACTAAAGAATGATAACACTCCAAGAAAGAACAGTATATATGTACACTAGTTACAACCACCACCACCCCACAAAAAAGCAGTATTTTGCACAGGAAACAGTTTCAAGTTTCTCCTGGAGTGAAAACATTACCTATTATGGTCAGGAGTTCGTAACAACTAATGTCAGGCAAATAACTGTTCATGATGTCCCTTTTGGGGGAAGATGCTATTGACTCTGAGCTTGCTTCATTGGTCTGTAAAAAATATAACAAGTAAGATACAGAAAATGACTAGGACAAAATCATGTCTGCGTGATACTTGCATATATAATCAATCAGGCAAGATATAATTACCTGACATGATTTGAGAAAAGCAGCTTGCTGAAAATGGCTTTTCTTTGGAATATCATCTATAGAAAGGACTATCCAACAGCTGCAGATTGCCAATCTAAAAATGTATCCAATGTAAGTGGCATTTTTTAATCCATCCCCGCTGTATCTGTCCTCACAAACACTTGCTCAGTTAGGCTACAATCCAACATATTCTTACTGAGATTGCCCCACTAATTTTAGTGGGACCTGCTTCTGAACTGGCATGCATGCTACACTCTCAACTTACTATGCATTGTCCTCCTTTGATATCTGTTCTGACTGGTTGTATCTGGACATCTGCTTGACACGTTTTTAAGCTAGAGGAGCTGAAGACTGAACCTATGATATTAACAGACCTGTAGAACTGAAGGAATCCTCTGAACTAACTAGGTCAATGGTTTGTGTTCTTTTCATTGATTCCAAAACTGCAATTGTCATTGTATTTCCTTTGCAGTCTCTCTTTAGGAAACCTTCACTTCTACCAACCCACTTCCACTTCCTTTATTGTCTTTCCTTTGCCTCAAAAGCACAATATATGTTGATTGCACTTAATGAATGAGTTAGTATAATAATAATTTAAAAACCTGCCAAAGTAAATTAGAGACTGAAAAAGAACAACAAAAAGGTTTTGGCACAAATGCAACCACCTCTCCACCAGTGCAATCTTAAAGATATTTACTCAGAAGCAATGTTCTCTCTAAGCCATGTGGGCCCACAGGGTTGCATCAGATGTACACAGCCGGCCGAGCCAGTGTTTCCCCCCATTTACATCTGGTTATGGCCAGAATACTGCGGGCACAGGGTAGAGCCCCTGCACAGTGTGCTGGAAAATTAGAGGGAACGTTGCTCAGAAGTAAGCATTGCTACATTCAAAGAGGCTTAGTGTCTGGCAAACATGTACTGTATATGGGAATCTTTAAGGTGGTGATGGTGGTTGTGTTAATAAAGGAGCTCTAAAGTTCTGCACTGCAAAAAAAACAAAACAAAAAAGCAAATTTGTTATTTTGGCATATAAACACATCTTGTTCCAGCAGCACTAATTATAACCTTCTAAATCATAATAAACTATTTTCTGCATCTCCTCACAGAAACATAAACTGCTTGAAAAATCCATGCAGAGGAAGTCTACGGAAATCTTGACATTTCACAAAAATGTAAAAAGCTTAAAATAAAATGCTACTTGTGAAGTGCAGCACACCAAAAAAGAAAAAAACAAAGAAAAAACCCTCCAAGAAAAACAAATACAGTTGTCCCCAAGGGTTTCAACACAGGATCTCTTTTGGTGTAAACGGCAGAAATTTAGAAAACAGCAAAAATCCAAAACAACCTGTACCCAACACATTCTCATTCCAATATTACTGCTTTTTAAATCATACCAGGTTTCTAAACATATGTGTTTAGTGTAAGTTTAGCTGGTCTTCTGTTTCAAGAAAATTATTCTGAAAACATCAGATGCAGAGTTTCTAATGTAATTTGGGGGGCAGGATGAAGGTAGAAAAGAAATCTATGGCAAAAATCTTATTGCTCAGTGTAAGTAAATTGCACTAGAGTGAGCCCACTGAAACAGTGGAGATTTGGTGAGTCAGCTCCATAAGTTCCATTGATACAAATGGACCTACTCTAACTGTAATTTACTATGGTAAAATAAGTCACACTAGAGTAGGCCCATTTGAAACAATGGTACTTAGGGAGAGGTTGAATGACTCAATTGGCCTATTCTGGTGTGATTTACTACAATAAGCAACAAGATTGGCTATTTTGGTCTCATCCTGCATCTTTTTAGCATCCTGATAGACAGATCCTCAAAATCTCCAAACAATTCCTACTTAGATCCTCCCCTTCCTTAGTGAGAATTTCCAATGCAGTGGTGCCTCGCTTAACAATGTTAATTGGTTCCAAAAAAACCATTGCTATGGGAAAACATCGTTAAGTGAAACACCATTTCCCATAGGAATGCATTGAAAACCGCTTAATCCGTTCCAATGGGAACGGATTGCCGTCCTTAAGCGAAAATCCCCATAGGAAACATCGCTAAGTGAAACAATGTTTCCCCCAATGGAAAGCCGTTTAAAAGCACTTCAGTGCTTTTGAATGGCTTTCCGATGTCTGTTTTCGCTCATTTTAAGTGTCTTAAAATGTTTAAACCTGTTTTAAATGCTTAGATTCGGTAGTGCACCTTGTGAAACATGTGCAAACTTAATTTAGTCTTGTTCTGAGTCTTCGTTAATTTTTGGTAATTTTTTGTTTTCCCCATTTAAATCCATTGAATGGACAGTTCAATGGATTTAAATGGGGAAAACAAAAAATCACCAAAAATTAACGAAGACTCAGAACAAAACCAAATTAAGTTTGCACATGTTTCAGAAGGTGCACTACCGAATCCAAGCATTTAAAACAGGTTTCAAACATTCTAAGACACTTTTAAATGAGCAAAAACGGACATCGTTAAGTGAAATTCCCCCATAAACATTGTTAAACGATGGGGAAATTTCCTCAAAGAAACCCATCGCAAAGCGAATACATCGTTAAACGAAGCAATCGCTAAGCGAGGCACCACTGTACCTCCACTTTCTCTGGCATTATGCCTCCTCTAGCCTTTATCTGCTCAGATTCTTCATTGCATTTAACTGACTATTCTTCCTTACATACTTTAAGCAATTATATTTTCTTTCCATTCAGCTTCTCAGCCATCAATTCCTGTTCAACTGTTGCCCTTTCTTGTAATTTTACCAACTGCATATTTTATTCCCCAGACCTGTGAAATGTTCTGCCTCACTCCTCCTTTTTCACTAGTCCTTTTCTGTCTCAGCTGACCGCTGACTTTGCCCATGTCCCTCTGAGCTTCCTGACAATTATAATTCTTGCTCTTCCTCACATAATCTTCCACTTTATTCCTGTTACATTTTTCCCATTCTCATGTGCTGCAGGAGGTTATCTGGGAAAACTTGACCTTCCTTTTTCTTATCAAAACTGCATAGTTATCAAGGTTGTAATTGCCAATGCCTTTATTTTGAGCAGTTAGAATGTTAATAAACATTCTATGATATCAAAACAACTCAATCAACAGTGGGGTTGTGGCAGTTTAAAAGCAACTTCTCTCAGCTGTACAGCACAATCATATGTTTGTCTACTCAGAAGTCACAGTGAGTTTAACAGTGTTAATTTCCAGTTGATTGCAAGCTAAGGCAAAGTTTAGTAAGCCCTATCGAACTGAATAAGACTTGCTTCTGAGTAGACACATAAAATCATACTGACTGGCTACTAAACGTTCCTTACATAACAACCAATTAACAACCAGTATTTGGAGATGTTCAAGAAGTTGACCAAGCATTTGGGAGTTTTCCAGCTCTGACCAGAATCATGAAAAGGTAGTTGCAGGTCTTAACTCCCAGGCCATTATTTTGAGTATCACTGGAGTGTTTTCTCTGAAGAGCAGAATAACTGTTCTGGTTACAGATTTCCCATTTAAACAGGCAGTTAAAAACAGTCATATAATTTCTACTTTACTATAGGAGCCATTTGAAAACCCAAGATTTATGGCAAAACAGATCGATATGCCACACACCAAAACCTTATTTCCAGGGTGAAACCTTGTTCTCACAAATGTAAAGCTAAAAACATTTGATGCATAAATAAGGTAAAATGGAAAACAAGTTAGAATGTCCACAAGGAATAGAACGAATCTCCATGCAGTTGGCCACAGCATCACAACCTACAAAAGTCACTTACTTTTCTCCGAGAGTCACCCAGAGGCTGCTCTGGAGTAAAGAAATCAATCATTCAACTATGTTTTCTCAAACAGATACTCATTAACAATACTGTACAACTAAAGTAATGAGAAATACTTAAGGATAATTTGAGGATGTAATGAGAAATATTTATTTTATTTATTTACAATATTTTTTAGCCGCACCATTGCCAGTGGCTTCAAATATTGTGCTGGTTTTTGGAATGTTTTTATTTAAATTAGGAATCTAAATAATGTTCTTAACTGTTTTTAATTTTGGTTTTGGATACTGTTATTTAATTATATACCGTAATATAATATGTTTCTGACTGTGACTATTATGTTGTTTTATCTGATTTGAGCCAGACTGAGACCCTATGGGATGAAAGTGGCATACAAAATAAATAAATAAATAAAATTAAAATAACCTCAAGGAAGATATCCTAACTCACACTGGCACCATACTGACAGTGCTACTGAACAAAAATGGCAATTTCTTGCAGATTTTGATTATCTAATTTATGTGATGATGACCCCGTTCAAACTCAATTGATCACATGGCTCTAAACCTAAGGTCCCAAGAGGTTCTTAACTAAAACTACACTACACTTGATCTTAGCCAAAAGGCCAAGAAGTTAGCTGTTGAATGTTTTATCTGCATTTTAGTGTTTTAATTTTGCACAGTATGCCAATAAAGGTATCTGTTTGTCTAACACTCTCAGAAGCCTTCACTGCTAGCTGCGCTGGCCAGGATTTCTGAGAGTTGTGGTCCAAGAACATCTGGAGACCCAAGGTTGGGAATCACTGCTCTAAAATGAGAGGGACTCCAAATTATAAGCACCTTCCCATCAGAAGCCTAGCACCACTTGCATGCTTCGAATCTTCTATCACTGTAAGACGGGAAATAATTAGAGGTCTACAACTGTGGGTCCTAAGTATCAACAAATGACCACAGTCATAGACCAGCAATACAGAATGCTTCTGGGAAGAAATATGGATGGGAATTCTAGGACTGAAGATATAAGCAACTTCTATGATTATCTCGCCAGGTTTTCAATATCCAAACTTTTCTGGGTGTGCTTTTTTGTAGATACATTACTGATACATTACTTTGCTTATTATTTCAGTACTGTATAAGGAAACTTGTAGAGTCAGTCATAACACCACTGGGAGGGATGGAGAGAAAGGCAGGGACAGCTTATTCCTGTAACTGCCTACAGTGTTGTACAGACCCAGATGAAAAACAGTTTAGATGTACAAAATTGGTAGTCACTGCAATCTCCCAAAATGATTATGTGAAAGAATCATTTCCCTGAAAGCCAACTTAAGCTTGGAGTTAAGGAGTGCAGCTGTTAATGAGGGCACCAGAGTTGGTGGTCGTTGTTCTTGACATGGACATAGGCACCAAAAGGAAAAATGTACAGTGAAGATACATTTAAGGGCTAAAACCCTAGGGAAAAGCCAGCACAATACAGGGCAAAGTATATTACCTTTACATTTCAGAGATTTGGACAGACTCAAGGAACTACTCAGTGGGTCAAGTAATTGAAATCAGATTTTGAAGTGACTATGAGATCCAATTTTACATGGAGACTTTTAAGAATGGTAAAGGTTAACTGGGATGCTTTGGAGAAAAATTATTCCATTAGTCAGCTTTGATTAATATAGTAACACTGACTGCTTTATGAAAATTATTTCTATTAACTGATTTGGCTTTTGGCTTTTTTCCTCTCCAATAAAAGTTGTTATATGATTACTTTTTAATTTCTCATTGAGCTTCTTTTACAAACAAATCTTATTAACTGGTACTGAAATTATTTAAATATTTTCTAATTATTTCTCGGTTGCTACTTCTGGATCTCTAGAAGACATTTATCATGTTTCCATTTTACATTTTAATTCAGTAAGAATCTAAAACAAACAATCCTTCACATTTGTTCTGAAGGAATAGTCTTTTGATTGAGGATAGTATCACATGCCCTGGAACTGGCACATATAACACATTTTAACAAACAATTTGTGAGCATTGTTATCTCTGAATGCAATGAATAAAATCTGTTCAGCAATCCATTCAAACTTGACTACTGAAATAACTTTCTTATGGACATCTGCTGCTGTTCTTGGGAACATATATGATTTGACATTTGTGCATTATTGATCCACTGATTATCAGTTTTGCTTAAAACAAACACTGCTTGAAGATGTGTCCCATTCTACACTATAACAGAGTTATTGTGATGTTACATTTCTGACATTGACCTATTCGTACTTTAAAAACCACATATCTACCAAAGGCCTAATATTCTGTTGACCAGAAAGTTATTACTTCATCTTCACGTCTAAGCAGAATCCAAACAAAATAGCAGTTAAGAGAAAAGGGCAGATAAAGTGAACTAATAATATTTTAATAATTAAGCTTTGGATTAGAATGCAAGTTGCAAACACAAGGCTATTCAGAAAGAAACATAATAAGGCACTGAAAAACATTTTAAACAACATAATATTAAGTTACCTTAATTTTAAATTGTATATATTTTATACCTTGGATTTTTATACATATAATTTTATTGGGATGATTTATATAGCTATTGAAATATAGCTATTGAAAATGTCTGTGATCCAGTAATTAGGCTTAAAATCTAGAGGGGAAAGTACACAGTAATATAAAAGAAAATGGTTAGAAATTAGTAATTTGACATTAGCATTAACGGATAGTCTCAAATTCTTGTGACCATCCCCCTGACCTCAGCATATTCCCAAATCAGAAGAATCTACTAGGCTTTCCCAACTTACGATGTCTACAATTTCCTCTTTATCCTGACCCAGATAGTTCAAAGTCATCTACCAACACCTTCCTAAATATTATATTAAGTGTACAGGTTGCAGCCACAGAAACCTCTCACTTTGAGCTACTTGGTCAGCTACTTTGCACTATGCTGCATGGTTTCTTCCTACATTCTTACCACCACACCAAAGAATAACCTTTATGGACTGTACTGCAGGAACACAATTCACTAGAAATGTTCCCATCAACCCGGATGAAATGAGTGGCACAAGAATAAGGCACACTGGAGAGACTCTTGACAGATGGTGGAAGCCAAAATAGTTTACACATTATAAACCCTAAATTACTGTCATGGTTCAAGCTATGGAAAACAATGTTTCAAGGTTGCAGCACCAGTGCTGCCAAATATATAATATTCCTTGCAGTAATGAAAAGCATCAAACAAAAAATTTGTAGAAAGGTATAGAATTTTTCTAATATAGTCTAAGCACTTACCTCCAAAGATTTCCAACTCTCTCAAGCCTTCAAAAATGAACTTCTCAGACATCCACCTCTAGAAAAGAAAACCCAGAGTGAGCTATCTTGTGGCACCATCATTGGTAACATTATTTTTATTCAATCAATTTGTATACTACTTACCATATAAAATGACACTTATGGATATCTTAGATCATTATTCTTTACATTTAAGAAAAAAACTCATGGCCCCTTGACTTAAAATGCAGTAACAAGAGGTAGTATAGACGTAATGCCAAGAAAGGCTTTCTTTAGTACCCTCCATTCTCATCCCTTTTATCTAGGTTTGAGCAAAGCATTATTTTGCTATTTTGGCCACATCAACTAGCACAAGTACAAGCTCTACCTCATGGACAGTAGACTTGAGAGTTGCCTCAAACAAGCATAAGAGGAAGACAACTGCCATGTAAAAGGGGGGAAGTGAACACACAAGATTAAGGCTCATTGCTGTGATACATTGTTTAGCATTATAGCTAAATTATCTTGAACTGTAGGGCCAAAATGGCACATGTTTTCCCTAGCAAAAGCATTCTGTTTACTTTGCTCCTTATCCAACACAAAAAGTTAATGAAGAAGGCTACAGAGAGTAGTGCCTGAAACAATACTGGACAAGAAGGTGATGAAGTGAAGAGTTTCCCCACCCCCACCCCACTTAAGGCTGATCATTTCCCTTATATAAGAAGAAAAGCAGAGGTGAACAAACAAATGCCTGTCTTCATCACTTCTATTTTAACTCTTAGCTGAGGCAATCTTGTTCCATTGGTTTCACAGGAGCCAATGACTAATGATAGGCAAATTGTGACATCATTGGTATCAACTTACAAGACACCCAACTACAAATACCAAACTATTTTTTTAGAATAACTAATTATGTCTGCAGAATGACATAGAATCTGTGATATGGTGTGAAAGATTCTTCATTTCTGGAAATGCATCACTTCACAAAACGAGTCAACATCCCAAATGAATGTAATTAAAGTTCAACTCGATAGCTGGAATATGTATACTACTAGTAAAATCTAAAATGAAAATTACAATTAACTCTTCACAGAATATTATCACTTGGAAGCTCATATAGCTCTTCATTCTTGCTAAAATCAGTACGTTAGTAGTTTTCATTGCCTGCATTTCTACACATAACTCTTCATGCATGATATCTCTGTGTTAATAGTTTTCAGTATATCCCTTTCTTTCTGAGTACCTGGATAAAAGTGAAGATCATTTTAAAACTTTTATGAGTTTCCCAATAAGAGCAATATCCAAGAAAAGATTTGAATGTATTTGACTATAACATTGAATTCACATGACACACACTTCATTGATTTTTTTCTCCACTAATAAAAAGTTCAGTTCTGCCACTTTTGGGGAAAACTTCTAAGGTTATTTATACATTGGAGAAGTCAATATAAGTATTTAGCACACAAAACTTTGAGAAGTTACAAAAAACATGTGAAAGCATTTCTCTATCACTTTAGAGCACTAGGAAATGTTCTGGAAAATACTGATTTTCTTTCAGAAATCCTTATCATGGAATGGAACATTATCTAAACTCCATTCTAGCATAAAATTATTCTGCTCAAATATTCACACTATAAAGAATTAAGCAAAGCAACTAGAAACATTTTTCATACTTGAGCAACTGTTGTATTCGAACCTCCTACTGGAAAGTGTTTTGACATTGAAGACAACAGGTATGGTCAAGTGTCATAGCATTGTTCATCATGAAGGAATGAACTTAGCCTCCCGGCTCTTTCATATTCACATTTTTCTTCCACTTCCAGCTTGTAAAATCATAAACTTCCACTACTGCTTTAGATTAACCACAATTTATGATGTTGTCTGAACTTCAAATTTTGGGTAATCTTTAATATGGTTAAGTAAAGTAAGCCAGTTTCAAAGTTCATTGTTTGATATCAGCTAATTTCCATTAGATCACAATTAACCACAGTTTGTCAGATTCAGATGAAAAGCTGTGGTTAACAGAAAGAAATAGGAGGGGGAAAAGTGAACTTGGGAGAGACAGTCTTCTTTTCATTATGATAAACTACTGTCTGCTGTGACATTTACACAAGTTAATTAAAATTGTTTACTTTTTCAGATTAATAGGTGCAATATAGAGAAATACTACTACAGTGCATCATTATTTTAAAGATTCATCACTAAGGGAAAGAAAGCCAATACCAAAATATTTAAAATCAAAATCTTGACCTTCTTCCAATTAGTCAAAGGAAGTTTATTTCAAGAAGCTGCAGTCCATGGCCATCTCTCAAAACTCTACATGCAAAAAATTATTTTGAATTTGGTGGCTTTGTGGCTCCAGCTTGATCTTAAATGTGTCTGGTCAAATATAGTATGTTTCTTCCCAGTTATATATGCTTAGCACCAGGTGGATAAAAATAAATGATTTCTTAAAAAACAAATTGATTTAAATCACCATTTAAATTTTAAAAAATATTTTTATTTAAATGTCAAATACAGTGGTGCCTCACATAGCGATCGCTCCATATAGCAATGAAATCGCTTTGCAATGGACTTTTTGCCATTGCAAGAGCGATCGCTTTGCGATGGCCCCTATGGGGAAATTTCGCTTTGTGATGATTGCAGGGAAGCGATCATCGCAAAGCCCCCATTTTCGGCCAGCTGATCAGCTGTTCCAAAATGGCCACCGGGTAAACAAAATGGCCACCCGCTGTTTTGCCTCGCTTTAGAGGCAAT